GCGCGGTGTGCGCGCGCGGTGCGCGCGGCTGTACGGGCCGTCTGCGCCCTCTAGTGAAACGCAGCCCGGCGCCGTGCCTCACTGTCCCCGACCCTCTCCTGGGGTCCCCAGGATTTGGGGTTCTGCCGGCCGGCCGGCCTCACCGCTGCCTCTCTCCTCGCCGGCAGGTCGGAGCGCACCGCGAGGACGGGGTCAGCCTCCGCGGGAGCCACTCGCTCGTGCCAAACCAGGTCCCCGTCCCCCAGCTGCCCGTCCAGTCCGCCACGTCCCCGGACCTGAACCCGCCCCAGGACCCGTACAGGGGTGAGTACCGCCTGCCCGGCCGGCCCGTCCCGGCACGCAGCGTCCCCAAACACGCGGCCGGGACGGCGGTGACCGGGCTGGAGGGACGAGGCGTCCGAGCTCCTGGTCGCGGGGATGTCGGGGACCGTAACGCAGCGTGGGGCATGGCGGGGACAGCAGGGCAGAGCCTCTTTGCTAATTCAGCTCTGCTCTCTGAATTGCTACCGCTAGAAGTGTGCAGGCAGCTTGCCTCTGGACAGTGAGCTTTGATACCAGGACTGCTTTAAGCAGCAAAGTTAAGAGTGTAGAAAACACTGCAGGACGCACTTCAAAAAGCCGTGAGTGTAAGGTGAGACTCAGACCCACAGATTTTCCACCACCTTTACGGTTTTGCCTGTGGGAAGGATGGCGCCGGCGTGCCTCTCCTTGGCTCACAAGATGTGTTGCACTGTCCTAAGCCTGGCAGACTCCTCTGCAGGGTTATTGGAAGCAGGCCTGGAGCTAACCGAACCCCGAGGACATCAGCGGTCTGTCGTTACTCCTAGAGGCAGCTGATCTTCCCGTTAAAGTGAGAAAGAAAGAGCCCAAACTATTATGAGGTCTTGTCCATTCATTGCAGCTGAGGTATTTTGATTATTTTGAGAATGGCATATTAAAGATTTTTTTTTTAAGGTGAAGGAAAAGTTATGTAGTGATTGAAGAACAAGAGTAGCAGCTAGGCATCCTGTGTCCCCTTCCACGCCTACCTAAGAGCTGGAAATGCGGGTCTGGCCAAGATCACAAGCTCTCTGTCCGTTTGTAAAATGCAGATAATGTCGTCTGCTAACAGGTAGCGGGTGCACAGAACTCCCTCAGATGCAGGAATCAACTTTGCTCTAGGAGTTCAAAGTCTTACTTTCTTCCTAAATCCTTGCTTGCAGAAGCAGCTCAGGGTGAGGGCTGGTGCAAGTGCCAGCTCCCCGCTCCGAGCAAGATGCGCGGGTCCTGTCATCACGGTCCCCGGTGCCGTTCAGCTGATGTTTCGTAGACAGCGAGTCCTCCTCTGTTCCTAAAGGCGGAGCAGCAGAGCTAGACCTCAAAGCCCTGGCCGAACCCCATTTTCAGGAGCTGCCACCCCCATGCCTGGCTCTGCTGGGGCTGCGCCCGCGGGTCACCCTCCGCTGGGGACGAAGGACGCAGACCCAGACCGTTCAGGCGTTGGCTTAAGCACTGCTTGACAGCTCGTCCGTGTGTTTTCTTGCAGGCATGCCAACTGGACTGCAAGGGCAGAGCGTCTCTTCGGGTAGCTCCGAAATCAAATCTGACGACGAGGGAGATGAAAACCTCCAAGACACAAAGTCTTCTGAGGACAAGAAACTAGAGGATGACAAGAAGGATATCAAATCAATTACTAGGTCAAGATCTAGGTAACAGTATATAATAGTGTCGCTTCATTTAATTCCTTTACTGGATTTCGATGAAGTGAACAGAACAGGAGGAAACTATGAGGTTTTTTCCTGGCAGGTAAAACCACAGCCTAAGTGGAATGGCATGGCTGTTCTGGCAGTACCGAGTACCTTTCTGGTACCTCTACTCCAGGACATCCTCAAATTGGAACAATTCACAAATTTGGACACTGAGCAAGTTCTCCACAACCTGTAAAGAAATTGCTTTACGCTAAAATGTATGAACTAGGCTGTTATTCCTCTCTGCCTATGCTTGCAAATTGGAATACAGTATGGATTTTCATCTCTTTAAAAATGTGCCTAATAGCTGATCACACCTGCACCTGAACTAACAAACCATATGCTTTTCTTTTACCTCTGAAATAAAATTGTCATTCCCAGTCCTCAATTTCGGTAAATCTCTAGGTTTAAACGGAGGGTTTAGAGGTCTTTACTTTACTTGTTCGGCATATTCCTTATAAATTTTGGGAACGTATTAGTGAAGTCGTAGCTGGATTTTATCATCTGGGAGCTCACGCCCACGGTGAACGTGAACAATGTCTATGGGTGCTGCAAACGTGAACCTGAGCAAGGGACAGGCTTTACTTCTGTCCCTTGGATTTCACCTGCCTCGCCTGCACGTCACCCCAGGGCCCGAGGTACGGCTCAGGACTGCAGGTCCTCCTCGGCATCAGTCGAGTCCCGAGCTATGCAGCAAAAAGCCCAGTAAAGCTGAAATCCAGGCACAACCCTGCTTTGTTCAGGGGATCTTTTTTTAAAGCTGGAATGGCAGTGTCCTTCTGCCTTTTCTCCTTCCACGCCTGGTTCTCTGTATAAAAACCGAGCCGAGGTAAGAAGCGTCTGAGCAGACGGGCTGCCCCCGAGAGAGCGCCGAGACTCAGACCTCTCAGGCCGGCGCCCGCCGGTGTTTAAAACATTAATTACATTCACGTCTCTTATGACTGGAGAAAATAGATGGCACTCGAGATTTTCTCTGGATAAATGTGTTGAAGTAACCATATGTAGAAGTGAGGCTTTCATGTGCGTTTACGATATGGTAAGAAGAAGGCACCTTTATGCTGATGCGAGGTGATCGTGGTTCTTGTTAATCCAACAAATACTCTGTCGCTTATGCATATTTATATGTGCTTTGAAGCTTTTGTAGGCTAACATTTTTGCCTTTAACACGCTTGCAGCTTTAAACGGTTACTCCTGATACTTAGTTATATGTCTAAATCCATGTTGTTAGGGCTGCTGAAAATTTAGATATTTAGTTATATGCCTAAATCCATGTCGTTAGGGCTGCTGAAAATTATTACTCCATTTGCATAACCAATTCAAATTATATAGTGCCAGTGATTCACCAGTGGATGTTTTCAATTTCAAATCATCATTTTATCTGGACAGAAAGCAGGTTTGTTGCGGAAAGGATGCAGAAGTTCACCCTAGGGCTCTTCACAGCCAGAAATGACTTCTGTGGCTCTCTGCCCACGGGCGTTTCGGTGCCCCGAGCTCCGTGCCGGGACTGGGGTGCTGCCCACGCCGGCTGCCCGTGGCTCCCCACTGCCACCGCTAGGGAGGACGGCTGATCCTCCCCTTGGGGAGTAGAGAAAGTTTCTTCCAAACCCCAAATGACAGTCTGCTGAAAGGGAAACGTGTAAATGCACGGCTGTCCTTCTGGCTCGGAAGGCACTGCTGAAGGGCCGGAGCCCGTGGGCGTTGGGTGCTGGCACTGGTGGGAGCGGGGGCAGGTCCCCTCGCCGGTCGGGGACGAGCTCCTCGCTCCTGGGGCGAACCCACAGGCAGCAAAGATGGAAAGTGGGAGCAGTGCAGGGAGCCACCAGCGTCCTTTGGGGTTAAAGGGTGACTCTGAGCGGAGATTTGCCACAATTTAAAATGTTGCAGTACTGGCTGTGATAAAATACGTTATTGGAAAAAAAAGCTGTGTTTTTGCTTCTTTAAAATATCAGAAGTCCTGCCTCGCAGATTGTAAAGCCTCGTTACAAACCAAGGCTTTACTCAAAGTAAAATTCAAGGGGACTGACTTTTGCACAGGTTTGGTGAAAGGGAAACAGTAAATAAGAATGGTTCAGAAGGTGCCTGTTCGTGAATTGTAGCCGTGCTTTTGGACAAAGTCTCTTGAAAATCTTGGCGCTCCTTATTTTCCACATCATTAGAAAATGATGTATTCCTTTTGTCTCCCAGCAATAACGATGACGAAGACCTGACACCGGAGCAGAAGGCCGAGAGGGAAAAGGAAAGGAGAATGGCCAACAACGCTCGGGAGCGCCTCCGCGTCCGCGACATCAACGAGGCTTTCAAGGAGTTGGGCCGGATGGTGCAGCTCCATCTGAAGAGCGACAAGCCCCAGACCAAGCTCCTGATTTTACACCAGGCTGTGGCTGTCATCCTCAGCTTAGAGCAGCAAGTCAGAGGTCAGTGTGCCGCCGGGTCTCCGTACATCCCTCCCGGGCTTCGGCCGTGCCAAACACACCTTTTTGGGTTGGGGAAAGCCTGGCCGGGGGCACCGGGTGCCAGGGAGAGCGGCAAGACCTAACCCTTGGCACCCGGAGCCGGCCGGGCACGTCTGAGCAGCCGGGGAGCTTGCGTTCCCCTGCGGCTCCGGCACTGGGGATGCCGGCGTAGGTCCTCGGCAGCCTCGGCACGCTTTACGTTCTTCGGCGAGATCCAAATTCAATATTAAGCTTGGCTGCTCCTTAGCAAAGCGCAAACACGGAGGTATTTGCAGAGCTTGTGTACGGAGTCGTGCTGCATTTTGGCGCTCGACCTGACCGAGCTGCGTCCTCCGCTTCAGCCCGCTAAATTCCTGTCGCAGGACCGGAACGAATAACTGACAACGAATTATTCTAAACGCCCATGTGATGAACCGTAGACCAACCTGGTATAAGAATGTGAGTATCTGAAACCGCCTTTCACTTCAATTCAACAGAAAGAAATCTGAATCCTAAAGCAGCGTGTCTGAAAAGAAGGGAAGAAGAGAAAGTATCTTCAGATCCTCCTCCGCTTTCCCTGGCAGGACCCCACCCTGGGATGGGAGATGCCTCCAATCACATGGGACAGATGTAAAAAAAGGCAAGTTTCTTTTCAGCCATGCCCCGGGAGCCTCCTGCCCCGCACCCGGAGGGGTTGCCCCTGGTCCAGCCCCCCGTCCCAGGGCAGACCATCCCCCAGGGGTGGACGTGCCAGCCCACCCCTTATAAACTGGTTTTCGGGTCGCCCTGCGAGCACACTTGATTTCCGAGGCAGTGTTCGGGTGGGTTGCTGGAGGAGGGTGTAGGGACGTGCGCAGGCTCGGCTCTCCTCGACTGATGAGATTTTTTACTTCTTCCGCAGGTCCAAGTTGCCACATTTCTTCATTTAAGCAAGAGACCACTTCCTTAACAGCTGTATTATCTTAAACCCACATAAACACTTCTCCTTAACCCCTTTTTTGTAATATAAGACAAGTCTGAGTAGTTAAGAATCACAGACGCAAGAGATTTCAGCATTCCCGATTATTAAAACCGAGAAAAAACAAACAAAAAGTGCAACTTGAGGGACGACTCTCTTTAACATATCATGCAGAATGTCTAACGCAGTATGTTACGAGCTGTAAGTGCACAGCCTAGAGACTGAATGGCAATCTTCTCCACACTGTGGGACAATGCATTTGTGCCTAAACTTCTTTTGGAAAAAAAAAAAAATATAATTAATTTGTAAGTCTGAAAAAAATATTTAATTTAAAATTGTAAACTTGCAATAATGAAAAAGTGTACTTCTGAAGAAAAAAAAATGAGCGTTTTTGTTGGTGTGCTAGACAGCTAGTGTTTATACTTACTGGATATTAAAAGGGAAGCTTTGCTGCCCAGATATTTACAAAACCAGCAAACGTCCTAATGAAAACTGAAGCGATGACATTAGCCATTCCTTAGGGTAGGAGAAACAGATGGATCTTATAGACCTATGACAAATATATATATATAAATATATATATAAATATATATTAAAAATTTAGTGAATATGGTAAGCTTTTGTTCATTTGTTTCAGACTTTTTTGCTCCTGTAAAAAAATAGTACTGATTAACTTTTTTAAAAAGAAGATTTTACTGTAAATAAGGATTTTTTTGTCTTATTTCTGTCCCTCTCCCCTGTTTTTGTTATTGTAACCTGTAGTGCCAACTCTGTCTCTGGAGGGGTAGTGCAGGATGAAACGCTGACCCTGACGTTGCTTCTCATTCATAACTAAAGTAGAGAGTTGTTTCTTCAGTCTTTGGGGAAGACAGGACTTCGGGGCCGGCGGTGTGCCGGCCCCCCGGGCGCGGGAGCGAGCCCCGGCCGCCCCGCTGCTCCGCTCGACCCTTTTCTGGGATTTTCAGAGGTACAAGGTTAGAATGCTACAATGTTACCACTGTGCCTTCCAATGTTTATATCATCGGAAACATAACATAATCAAAGTGGCTGTGATTAACGAACCGATTAAAGTGTTACCTATGTGTGTAGCCTAAATAGTGTGCAGTGAGGCGTTGCTGAATACATGGTCAGATTTGGGGGGGGGGGACGACACACACCATCGCGGGGGAAAATTGCAAGTAGTGTGACAGATTTGATCGACTTCTTTTTCTGTTGTTCTTCTCTCGTTTTTAAGTGGATTATTTAAGTGTAGACCACTCGCTGCCTCCTCCTTTCTTTGTGAAATGCCAATTTCGGTCATCATGCAGCATTATAACAAGCCTTATGAGTCCTAAAGCATTAAGTTGCACTTTCTCGAGGAGGGGTGGTAGTACAGTATTTCTCTGGCCAGTACGAATGAAGTTTTTACTTAACATATTTAATAGTAACATAGCTCAAACTATGGCACAGCAGCTCATCAGATAACTAGCTTTGAAGTCTGGGCACAATTGAACCAACTTCCATAGTGAATCTTAATAACGATTGACTTTGGTGTACAGTACGATTAACAGATAGTGCTCCTAGTTAAGTATTTGTCAGCATCCTTTTGTCTCTAATTCCAGTTTCTATTTTTACAGCCACACCAACCTGGCATGTATTTTAAATAAAATCTCCCTGTTCGAGTAGATTTTCCACCTATCAACACTGAATAAATGCCATAAATCCATCAAACGGTCTAAATGTTCCATCTGTTCTCCTGTTTTGCCAGTTATATAGTAATGAAAAATACATTTGTAAATTTTATGCAACAAATGGCAAACGTATCATTATTTTGAAATTGTGTATGTAAAAGTTATATTTTTACATGTAGACTCTTGTTATTATGTGTTTTAATACATTGTATCAGTTTTTTTGTTTATAAAAATCTGTGTGGTTGAAAAAAAGTCTCATTTAAATGAAATAGTGAGATACAAGAATCTGAATTTTATGTTTGTTTCTGAAAACGTAAAGAACAAATATGATAGTTACCACGTGCTCACCTTCAACATCCCCATACCCATTTGGATTAGCTGTGTGCGTGCTTAAAACTGTAAATATGTTCAGTAGCGATAAAACTTTCAATGTTTTGATTTGTCGATAAGTTTCTCAAATGTGGAGGTGGATTCAACTGCTAGAGCAGACGCTAGAGGAGACCACACTAAGGCTTAATTCCGAGTTACAGAGGCTTATTGCAGGAGAAACGCTGGACTTGGAGCAGGCCTGGTTTATCCGAGAGGGGGTCTAATAAAGCTTGAGCCCACCCGGCGCTAACGACGGCCAGTGGTCCCCTCGGCAGGCCGGAGGGCTCTGCTGCTCCCAGCCGCGCGGGTCAGCCCTCTGGATGGCGTGAAGAGCACGATGCCGATGAACAAGCCATATATTTTTTTCCAGGAGACCTCAGACCCGGTGGACCACACTCGGTTTCGGTCTGTCCGAGTGCACCACTCGATCGGGGTAGGGACCGGCAAGGCGATCATCACCGAGATGCTGAGGACTGTGCTTCTGATAAACGATGTAAAAAAAAAAAAAAAATTATAAGACCAACTTCATGTTTATTTAAAACAATCTGTGGACAGAAAATAAATGACGAGTTTAGTTTCTGGAACTTACAGAGAAAGAAAAAGCTTTTCTTGTTCCGCTCGCACTCGGCTCTGGCCGAACTCGAGGAGCAGCTCGGGGCCGTGCCGCGGGACGTGCTCCCGGGCTTGCAGTCCCTCCTCCGCGCAGGATGCGCCCTCGTCCGTCCTGGATTTAAGAACTGAGGATCCTGGCCGGCTTCCGCTCCGGACGAGGCAAGATTTCAAAACAAAAACGCCCCACGAGTGTGTAATCCTTCATTTTTTCCGTTATTTCCCAGCCCAGGTAAGGTGTGCGCATCTCGAGCTGCCTTTCTCCGAGGGGATTGAGCTGATGATACTTAGTGAAAGCGGTGAAGGTTTTAGAAAGCCGTACCCTGTGGTAATAGAACCGGGCTAAGAAACTCGCAAAGAAAGAAATAAAATACTCAATTAGCAGCTTTTTCTGAACTGATCCACCTCCACATTCAAGTAATTTATGAATATGCTGAATAGGGAATCTGTTCATCTAGAACTTTTTTACCATTTGTCTTCTGTGTAGCTGCAAGGAACACTAATGTTTATACAACTGTCAGTCCTACCAGTGATGCAACTTGTACTGATTCAGTCTTCCGAGGTTTTTTGGGTTTTTTTTAGTTTTTTTTTCAGGGGGCGGGGCGGGGGGAGGCAACGAAGACGGGTGGTCAGGGAGAGGAGGGGTTCACCTTTGTATCCAACAGGCAGAATATGATCCGTGTCCAAAAGCGAACAATACAGAATATTGCCAGGAATGAAGAGATTTCAGCGGAAACAAGCACAAATAAAAAAAATAAAAAATAAATTTAAAAAAAAGAAAAAAAAAAGAAAAAAAAAAGAAAAAGAAAAAATTAGTCCACTGGTTGACTGGAAAAAAAAACCTAGAGGTGGAATACGATGAATTCCAACACAGCGGGGCACCAGGGCCCGGGGGGGCCCTACCTTTTCGTTTTGTTTTTGTTTTGTTTGTTTGTTTTTTAAAAAACATGTTCTTTCTCATGGGACTTGAAGTTGATTCATATTTGTGCAGTGCTGGTTTGACCATACTCATTTCAAGTATTATAGACTTATGTAATGGTGAAAATATATGAACTGTGGCCTTTTTCATTCTTGTTACTTGTGATGCAATTAAGTGAAGATAAGAAAAAAAAAAAAAAGCAGAGATTTACCATGTATCAGTGCCTGGCTTTTTGTTATAAAGCTTCGTTTGTCTAGTGCTCTTTTTGCTATAAAATAGACTGTAGTACACCCTAGTAGGAAAAAAAAAAACTAAATTTAAAAATAAAAAATATATTTGGCTTATTTTTCACAGGAGCAATCCTTTTATACCATGAATATTACGGAAAAAAAAATTGTCAGATTCTGAATATTTCTTCTTTGTAGATTTTTGGAATCATTCTGAGTAAAAGTTTGTTACTTTATTTTACTATTTAAAAGATGTTATTTTACCATGTGTTATTGAGATGAAACTGTATGGTAGCTTTTTTTTTTTAGTTGTAGGTCGCAACGGGGAAGTTTTTGCGACTATACACATAGCTGCAGCAGTAAAAACAAAAAACAGGAAAAAAATGAAAAAAAGGGAAAAATATAAAAAAAAAAAAAAAAAGATGAACAGTTACACCTTGTTTTCAATGTGTGGCTGAGTGCCTCGATTTTTTCATGTTTTTGGTGTATTTCTGATTTGTAGAAGTGTCCAAACAGGTTGTGTGCTGGAGTTCCTTCAAGAAGATGACAAGCAAACAAAGACAGCTTGGTGTAGGCCATTACCTGTTTCTCATCTGTAGTTATTCGATGCCGTCATGTACATGACCGTTCTGTAGCAATAAATGTGCCATTTTTATAAACCGTTTCCGACACTTGGGTTTCATTTCATTCCGCATTGCCCATCGCCGCCGGGCCGTCTGGCCGCCGCTGTGCCCCAGCCTGGTTTTAGGGGGTGGTTCTTAGGAGAAGGGGTGCTTTTTTTTTTTTTTTTAATACATGTCTGCATTTTGGGTAAAAACCTGTTGTTTCCGTGGGTCCTGGGGTGTGTGCCGTGCCCCGGCGGGGCTCGGTGCTGGAGGAGCC